TGGAGTTAGAGAGTATAGGTATTTTTCAGGGAATTTGCTATAAGAAAGAAAGAAGTGGAACAGTATGCTTAGGGTAGTGATTTTGAAGAGATTTTAAATTTGTTTTTCCTTCCTTTTTCATTAAGGAAATAGAAAATGCTCATGATGTATGATTGTCAGGACAATTGCAGGAATGAGCAGGATTATGAGGTTTAGTGCAAAGGTGGAAGACTCACCCTGGTCTGCTATGTAGATCAGTTCAGTTCAGTTCAGTCACTCAGTGGTGTCTGACTCTTTGCAACCCCATGGACTGCAGCACACCAGGCTTCCCTATCCATCACCAACCCCTGGAGCCTACTCAAACTCATGTCCATTGAGTCGGTGATGCCATCCAGCCATCTCATCCTCTGTCGTCTGCTTCTCCTCCTGCCTTCAATCTTTCCCAGCATCAGGGTCTTTTCAAATGAGTCAGTTCTTTGCAACAGGTGGCCAAAGTATTGGAGTTTCAGCTTCAGCATCAGGCCTTCCACTGTATACTCAGGAGTGATCTCCTTTAGGATGGACTGGTTGGATCTCCTTGCAATCCAAGGGACTCTCAAGAGTCTTCTCCAACACCACAGTTCTAAAGCATCAATTCTTCGGCACTCAGCTTTCTTTATAGTCCAACTCTCACATCCATACATGACTACTGGAAAAATCATAGCTTTGACTAGACAGATCTTTGTTGGCAAAGTAATATCTCTGCTTTTTAACATGCTGTCTAGGTTGGTCTTTTTCTTCCAAGGAGCAAGCGTCTTTTAATTTCATGGCTGCAGTCACCATCTGCAGTGATTTTGGAGCCCCAAAAATAGTCTGTCGCCATTAACATTGTTTCTTCATCTCTTTGTCATGAAGTGATGGGACCAGATACCATGATCTTAGTTTTCTTAATGTTGAGTTTTAAGCCAGCTTTTTCACTCTCCTCTTTCACTTTCATCAAGAGGCTCCTTAGTTCTTCACTTTCTGCCATAAGGGTGGTGTCATCTGCATATCTGAGGTTATTGCTATTTCTCCCAGCAGTCTTGATTCCATCTTGTGCTTCATCCAGCGTGGCATTTTGCATGATGTACTCTGCATAGAAGTTAAATAAGCAGGGTGACAAAATACAGCCTTGACATACTCCTTTCCCAATTTGGAACCAGTCTGTTGTTTCATGTCTGGTTCTAACTGTTGCTTCTTGACCTGCATACAGGCTTCTCAGGAGGCAGGTCAGGTGGTCTGGTATTCCAATCTCTTGAAGAATTTTCCACAGTTCGTTGTGATCCATGCAGTGGATAGTCAATAAAGCAGAAGTAGATGTTTTTCTAGAAGTCTCTTGCTTTTTCAGGGATCCAGTGGATGTTGGCAATTTGATCTCTGCTCCCTCTGCCTTTTCTAAATCCAGCTTGAACATCTGGAAGTTCACGGTTCACGTACTGTTGAAGCCTGGTGTGGAGAATTTTGAGCATTACTTTGCTAGCGTGTGAGATGAGTGCAATTGTGTGGTAGTTTGAGTATTCTTTGGCATTGCCTTTCTTAGGGATTGGAATGAAAACTGACCTTTTCCAGCCCTGTGTCCACTGCTGAGTTTTCCAATTTTGCTGGCGTATTGAGTGCAGCACTTTCACAGCATCATCAGAATTGTTAGTGTGTTGATCTAGAGTGGTGGTTTCCCAGACAGGTATGCTGACTACTAAAGGAGAGAAGGGATAGGGGAAATAAAAGCAGGGGAGAGTCTGCAGTGATTGGAAATTGAACTTTGGGAAGAAAGGATATTAGGGAATGAGAGACAGTGAAAACTTGGTAGGATCAATGGATTATCCCAACTAAAAAGATACTATTGAATTTGGGTTATTTCATAAAATGGATAAGCTGGAAAGAATAGAGTGAGTTGTTTGAAACTAATATTCCACGATTTTGTGATATTTAGGTTGTTTTTTTTTATCATTAAAAAATAATGCTTATAGTTGCCATCTTTGTATATAAAGTTTTGTGGTACCTTGTATTTCCATTGTTGTTGTTATTTAGTGGTTAAATCGTATTTGACTCTTTTACGACCCCATGGATTGGGGTCTCTATCCATGGGGTTCTCCAGACAAGAATGCTGAAGTGGATTGCCATTTCCTTCTGCAAGGGATCTTCCTGACCCAGGGATTGAACCCATGTCTCCTGCTTTAGCAGTCAGATTCTTTACCACTGTGCCACCAGGGAAACCTTGAAAAGCTGTAATTGCTAAAATACTGTAAAGGTAACCCTGAAACAGTCTTAATAACTCATAAAGACTATTATATATTTTCCATGTCCTCAGGAAGCGGATATCACACAAATGAGGAATTGTTGATTTATTGATGATAAAAGTGATATTTAGATATTTGTGTAGGTGCTATAGGGGAACATATTTGTGTAGGGGAAAATGAATTTAGGATTTATTTATAGCAAAATTTCAGAAAATTTAAATGGTATGGGAAGGGAAATCCAAATGAGTGTTTTTAGTTTTAAATTTTATTATTTTATCATCGAGTGTAAATTAACTTTATTCTCTCAATTGTCTGGTTGAACTTTACTTCCTAAGTCTTTTAGAATAAACAAAATGCTACTTTTTTTTCAAGAAATACGTTGACAAGATACTGAGAATCATGGTTATTTCTTTAGCTTTCCAGACTTTAGCAGCATTTAATAGTTGTTTATTTGTGTAGACCATTATACTATATGTAATATAAGTAGCCAAGAAGTACTTTATTCTCCTCAAACTATTTTGTAGTCTGAGATCACATATAAGGTAATATCTATTCATATCACCTAAATGTATTCTAGTGAATAGAGAAGAAAGTTTAATTTGTAAACTGTCTTTGTAATAACTCTAACATATATTCCAATTTATGGTTTACCTAATAAGAGAACAATAATTTATAGTCTTGTTTTGTTACGAGATTTTGTATGTTATGTGCTCAGTTGCTCAGTCTTGTCCTACTCTTTGTGGCCCCGTGGACTATAGCCTGCCCATGGGGTTTCCCAGGCAAGAACTCTAGAGTGGGGTGCCATTTTAGTCCTTACTGACAAAATGATAGATTGAATCATAGAAAAATTTCTGAGGAAGACATTTTTAGCAGAAATTTAGAGAAAAGTAGGGTTGAAAGAAAGTTGGATTGTGCTCTAGAGCAAATTGGTGCAGAAAGGTAAGAGGAAGTTTGAAAGTACAGTGACAGCAAAATGGAGGGATGACTTATATTGGTAGACTAAACAAGGGGGAGATGATGTTTTTTATGTAGAGTGATTTTTTTATATCTGATTTACAGTGTTGTGTTAATTTTTTCTGTATAGCAAAGTGATTCAGTTTCACACATATATATATTCTTTTTCATATTACTTTCCATTGTGTTGTCACAGGATATTAACTATAATCCTCTCTGCTATACAGTAGGACCTTGTTGTTTATCCATCCTGTATATAGTAATTTGCATCTGCTAGTCCCAAACTCCCAGTCCATCCCTTCCCATCCCCAGTCTCCCCCTTAGCAACCACAAGTCTGCTCTCTCTGTCTGTGTGTCTGTTTCATGGATATGTTCATTAGTGTTGTATTTTAGATTCCACTTATAAGTGATATTATATGGTATTCGTCTTTCTCATTCTGACTTCACATAGTATGACCATCTTTGTTGTTGCAAATGGCATTGTGTCATTCTTTTTTATGGCTACTGAGTAATGTTCCATTGTGTATGTGTATCACATCTTCTTTATCCATTCATCTATTGATGAACATCTAGGTTGTTTCCATGTCTTGGCTATTGTAAATACTGCTGCTGTGAACATAGTGGTGCATATATCTTTTTGAATTACAGTTTTGTCTTGATATATTTGGGGATTCCCAGGTGGTGCAGTGGTAAAGAATCCACCTGCCAGTGCAGGAGATGCAAGAGATGTGGGTTTGATCCCTGGGTTGGGAAAATCCTCTGGAGTAGCAAACGATAACGTACTGCAGTATTCTTGCCTGGAAAATTCCATGGACAAAGAAGTGTGGTGGTCTACAGACCATGGGGTCACAAAGAATTGGATATGATTGAATAATTAAGCACACATGCTTGATATGTGTGCCCAGAAGTGGGATTGCAGGATCAAATGGCAACTCAAATTTTTAATTTTTGGAGAACCTCCATATTGTTTTCCATAGTGACTGCACTAATTTATAGGATGTTAGATATAATACTTAATAGCAGTAATTGGAAAGTGTTTTGAGAGTTGGGCATTGAATAATTAGGTGCAGAGTTTTTTTTTAATCAGGTTTTACTTTTAACTATAGGAAAATGGTAGTAATTAAGTTTGAAACAACTCATGATAAATAATTCATTTGATGAAAATAGCTCATTATATTTTCAGAGTGGAAATTTGCAACTTTGCATGTACAGCACATTATAAACGGAGGCTGATCTAGTTTTAAACTGACAATTTGATATTTATCCTATACATTTTTCAGGTTTCTTATTTGATAATAGAAAATTGACTATTATTTATGTTGTCTTTGTAGGAGATAAATGAGTTAGAATCTTTTCTATCTAATGGGGATGTTAAGACATGTAAGAAAATACTGGGAATTCCCCGGCAGTCCAGTGGTTAGGACTCTGTGCTTTCAGTGCTGAGGACCTGGGTTCAGTCCCTGGTCGAGGAACTAAGATCCTGTAAGCTGCAAGGTGAGGCCAAAAAAAAAAAGAAAAAGTAAATACTGATTATGAGTCCTTTTGCTAGGTACAGAAAAGAAAGAGATTATTTCTGTACATACTCTAGCTTATATTTAAAATTAAAACATAGGCAGAATGATAAATATGGTCATTTCCTTTTCCATGCATTTCTTACACTGAGCCTTTAAGAATTTCACAGATGATAATGTAGCCATTTCTTAGACTCTTTTCCTGTTTATTAAAGGTGTGATACATTTTATGGACTATGATTTAGGTGTCATTTTTCCTTCTCAGGAATGTTTGCAAACAAACCTTTGTTTTTTTCTGCAGAGGTTACGAACAGAAAATAGACTTTTAAAACAGCGCATTGAAACGTTAGAAAAAGTAAGTAAATTGCTACTTCTGTAAATGTCTGTTGAATTCACAATAACTTTTCTACTTTAAATAAAGGCTCAAAAATCTAGCACGTCTCCAAAATTGTGGTACTGACTGCTTAGCTTGCATAGCTTACTACTAAACTAAATAACTTGTCAGTTAAAATTGATCATTACTAGTCCTTGAACTCTCAGGTCAAAGTTTCAAACTAAGGTTATTAATAGAATAACATATTAATATTATTTGTTTTCATTATATAATCTCTCAAAAGTGTGTTCTTCAGGGGTAACCTAATTGAGAATCCATTCTGTGTAGTATTTTAAAAATGGCTTTCAAATGTTGCCCTGACTGTCCAGACATATATTAAATGTGGCAGTGATTTCTTTAAGACCTAGGCTTGCTTTTAAGTTTAGTCAAAATGACTAATTCCTTACATAAAAACTCATCATGAAGTTTGTTGATTTTTCATTTCAGGAATTGTGCCTAACCTTTTGGTTCTTAGAATTATTTTGATAACACTTGTTATCTTTTCCTCTCTATTTCATATAAAATAACTGGGTAGATGTTGCAATTCTGTGTTATTTTTCTTATTATGCTTTTGAAATAATGTCTTTTGTAGTCTTCTTTCTGGTACTGTAAGAATATATTGAGTAATAAAAGCCTAGTCTCAGACACTTGTTTTATTTAAGATGTCCCAATTCACAAACCCTTGGTGTGTTTTTTGTTTTGCTTTTTTTTATTTTTACCAAAGATAAGAATTAGTTGTTTAAAAAATACTCCTCATGATATTGCCAAATATCTTAAAATCTTCCCTGAAAATTGATTGGTCAATATTTAGGAACAAAATGAATGAAGATACAGATTATTTGCATTTTTTCTTTTGTTTGGGAGTATTGGTGGTTTCATGTTAAATAGCATAGCACAAGGACAGGATTTTATTGCATACGTATTTTTGTTGTATAATAATTGCAGGTACATTATATTAAGGATATAATGCCTTCATCTTATTAGAGTTGCTTTGAAGATAATTCTGCTTTTTTGGTAACTGCAAAAGGTTGTGCTCTTAATTGTCTTTAAGTCATTTTAATTTTATATACATATATATATATATTTTAAACTAAATATTCAGTTTATAGTAAACTATACCTCTTTCTAGGTGGTCTTTTATCTTTGCAGTAAGACATTTTCACAGAGAAAGTGTTTTTATTTCCTCGAAGCTTGAGAATAATAAAGGTGCTGTTGGAAAGTGTTAAGTTTGGATTTTGCTTCTAGAAAATTAAATACTTTTTTGCTGGCTTATTTGGCCTGGTTGTGTTCTTTAGCACTTAGAATCCTGTAAATACTAGATACCAATTAAAGTCCATAACCACAATGTTTACTTACTCTGTTATTGCTAGAGTTTATTACAGTTGAGCTCATTAATATCATTTGTCATGTTTTCCTTGCTTTGTTTCTTTGGAAGTTGCTGTTGCACAAATTGCTATCACACTTTATAAGTGGAATTGCTTACTCAAATTCCTTCTCCCTTTCATATATAAATGATTTGACAATATGGATAATGTTAAAAAATACTTTAAAAGTATGCTTTAAAAAGAAGATATTGGTTTCTCCCAAATTATGAAAAAAACCCTCTTGGAATTTGTGTTTGGTTTCTCCTAGAAGTACATGATGTTCTCCTGTTTATCTTTATTTTGATATATTTTTATTTAAGAATAGAAGTACAAACAATAAAAAGACCATTTTAAAATCTAAATGTCCATTTTAACTGCAATGAAAAGTAGGTGGAATTTGGGTATGTGTTGTTTCTTCTTATTCCTAATTTTATCACCTTTGTTTTATTTCTGTCTCTTATATTCCTATCTGAATTTTTCCTTTTGTAGGAAAGTGCTTCCTTGGCAGATAGATTGATACAGGTATAGTTTTTTGGTGTTTTTTTTTTAAAGCATTTTCTCTAACATCTAAGGGAAGTCGTAAACCTAGAAATTCATATTTTAATTTATGCAATTTTACATGCATTTTTCTGGAAATAATTTTTGGGGTGGTATCTATGGGTGTAAACTTAATTTTTGATAACAATGTGTTACTTCTATTAAAATAAACCCATCTTTTGCACGTTTTAGAGCTAACCTTATTTTAAAGTATTTATTCCAAAATGGCAATTAGTGAATTCTGCAAAATTAACCACTACTCATTGAAAACATTAGTCCTGCATGTACAGTAATATTGCATGAATTGAATTTTTATTGACTGAAAGAGGAATTGTTCTTAAGATTATCAGATGAATTTTTCATTGAGTCTCCCAAAATTTGCTGGAGCAATAATAAGCTGCTGGCTAATGATTACTTAGGTTGTTCTGTTTTCTGAGATGATTTTTTTTTAACATGTCAAAGTAAGGAATTAAACCTCACAAAGGCAGTCTTTCTTGAATCTATCCTAAATTGCTTTACACACACAAAAATTATGTCCTAAGGGACAAGTGACAAGAGCCCAGGAGGCTGAGGAAAACTACCTCATAAAACGGGAGCTGGCCACCATCAGACAGCAGAGTGATGAGGCCAGTGCTAAACTGGAGCAAGCTGAAAATACCATCAGGAAGCTCCAGCACCAACAGCAATGGGTAAGGAGTCTGGGAGTGTTTTTTCTCACCTTCCTCATCCCCTTCCTTTAAACGTTTTTTTTTTTAAGCACGATTTCTGTGCTCTAGTTTTTTTAACAATTTTGTTTTCTACTGTAATTGAATTCTTAATCAATTTTAAGTTTTATAATACTTAGGGGTCTTATTGTGGCCTAAAGACTCCTTGTTCTAACATTTTTTTTTTTCTGTTTACACAGTTTTGTTAGAAACGGGTATTATTTTGTTTCCTTACATTATGTTTTAAGTCACAGAAAATAAGTGGTGTTCGTCAGAACTGCTTTTTAGGTTTCAGATATCTGTTTTAATAAAAAGTATTTTTTCATTTTACAAATTAAAAGGTTAATTCATAAATCTTTTGCCAGTTTTTGTTAATTGTGTATATAAGATACTACCTAGCATATAGAAAATATGTAATATCTCATTTAGATCTTTGATAATATGGTGATTTATGTCTTAGAAATACTGTAGTCCTCATACATTGGGACATTAAATTATGGGTTCAGTTGTATGCTTAAGTTTTTTCCAGAAGAGAGAAATTGTCAAAATGAAAAAAAAAAAGGATTTTAAAAACATTACGTTAACTAACTTACAGTAGTAAACTGCTACTGATCATAGAACTATCCTCAGGTATCTTTTGTAACTTAGATACTATTTTCCATTGGCAAATTCAGACCAGTGTGATCTTAATCAAAAATTTGGAAGTTAAAAAAAACCCAACTATATGAGAGTTAAAAAGAAAAGCCAGCTGTTTATCTTTGAGAATATATTATTTCTTATTTCAGCTTTCTGTTTTCAAGTAAGAGTTGGATTGTAACAGGAATAGGAAGAAAAAGTGTTAAACCTAGAATGCTATATGTAAAGCAAAAAGAATGACTTCAAAGTTGGATGTTATTTTTATTCAGAAAAATTAAGAAATGGTATTATCTTCTGAGCATGAAAATCAGAAAACTAAAAACAAAAAAAATTGGTAATTGAAAAAAACATACAATTTTTCTTATTATGTTAATTGAATATGGTTACCAAAAACTGAATAAAAGAGTGGTCAAAGAATACATTCATTGCTTATTATCTGTGGAAGACTGGTTCCAGGACACCTGAGGATACCCAATTATTGTGTGCTCAAGTCCCTTTTGTAAAAGGCATTGTATTTGCATTTAATCTGCATGCATCCTCTCATATACTTTAAATCATCTCTAGGTTACTTATAATACCTAGTACAATCTATTACGTTGGCCAAAAGTTCATTCAGATATGTCTGTACCATCTTACAAACCTGAACGAGCTCTTTGGCCAACCCAATAAATGATATGTAAATGGTTCCCTTTGTATGACAAATTTAAATTTTGCTTTTTGGAACTTTCTGAAATTTTTTTTCCTGAATATTTTCAACCCACAGTTGGTTGAATCTGCAAGTGCAGAACCTGTGGCTTTGGAAGGCTAACTGTACTAAAAAGATGGGAACTCAGATGTTTTATTTTGTCTTTGAATGAAATATCAGTAATATCAAAGCATAAAAACAGGAAAAAGAGAATTGAGAGGTCATGCTGAGAAATAAACTGAACTGAGTTATCAGTGTAATCTGATTTTGTCATGAGGAAAGATAAATATTATGTTTACATTTAGTATAAGCTACAGTCTTAATAAAATACATTAGAATCATGAATTATTAGTTTTTTACATAGTTTTTCAAATAATAAGACCTGTGGATAGATGTGTATCAAAGATAAAAAAAATACTGGTTTATAATGAAAGAGCTAAGTGGGCAGACAAAAACAGCCAGAATGAACTGAAGCTTTTGAAAATAGTCAAGTGTAACAAAAAGAATCTTTGTACTCTAATTCAGGGACAAGATAGACGCATACTGAGGGCCTATGATACAGCAAGTAGAAAGCAAATCTCTCCTTCAATTTTGTTACCGTCTAGGCAAGCATTCTCTTAAACTGAAATAAACTGTAAAGCAGGCGTATAAAACAGCAATGCACAAAAATAGGTGAAAATATCAGAGCCTTGGTTAAAATTTCAGTTTCAAAGTAAAGTGTATATCCCTGGGTAATCAGTAACTTCCAGGATGATCACAGGAATATTACTTTTTAAAAAGGATCTTAACAAAATAAGAGATACTAAAGGCATGAGACAAGTGCTCAGGGCTGGTGCACTGGGAAGACCCAGAGGGATGGGATGGAGAGGGAGGCGGGAGGGGGGGATCGGGATGGGGAACACATGTAAATCCATGGCTGATTCATGTCAATGTATGGCAAAACCCACTACAATATTGTAAAGTAATTAGCCTCCAACTAATAAAAATAAATGGAAAAACAAAACAAACAAACAAACAAAAATAAAGGCTTTGAGGTTGGCAACTACAGCTAATAATGACTGGATATCTCAAAAGATCAGTGACCTTGATAATGCTTCATTAAAAATTTCTGAAGCGTCTGGTTTGTGAATAAATAGAAAAATAACTTTTATTAACTGAAAGCTAATTTACTCTATATAAGTCATAACAAACTAACTATTTCTGTAATAAACAAAAATTCTTACAAGTTATTGCTAGTCGGGTCATAACAAACTAACTTTATTCCTGTAATAAACAAAAATTAAAGTTACTGGTAGTCTCTCTCATGATACCATTCTTGACAAAGTAGAAAAATATAGATGGAAATAGTAAACAAGTGGTTTTACAAGTGACTGTGTCAAAACGGCTATTCATATTGAAGAGATATCAGAGGTCTTTGTCTTCTAAACCTGTACTTCAAATATATATTATTTAAATCTTCATATACAAGGTATGTTTAAGGTTTGTATATGAAATATTTTAGGAATGTAGGTAATATGCTAATGGTGAGTCAAGATTTCAAAATATTTAAACAGCCTGTTCAGAATAAGAAACTAAAAGATTATCTCTTAGAAAGAAATCTATAGTTTTTGTCTTGAAGTTTAAATCTTAAAGATATATCTTAGTGATGCTTTATGTAACAAAACCTTGAAATTGAGAATCAGGAATTACCAGTAATATAATGAGACTCCCCACATCTTTAATCCCAAGTATAGTCTTCTAGAAGTATAATAATCCAATTCTAAGTAGCTTGTAGAAAATTAGTGGTGTTGTATCTAGTTTGAATACCAAAACTCATATGAAATGTTTACAGACTGTATTATGGCAAGTTTAGGAAGATGTGGAGTCCCTGGATATTTTTAGATTCCACTAAAGAAGGTTTTAAAGATCATCATAGGTATAGTCATTTTTAAGTATTTGAGAGGTGAGCTTATGGAAAAGTAGTTAGTCTCTTTTGATATTGCTTCAGAGGCAGAATGTGTTTAAGATCCAAAGATACAAAATCTTATTGGAATTTGACAAATGGAGTAATTTCTTTGCAAAGTACTGAGAATACTACTCCTTGAAACTGACCAACTGACACTGCTAAATGTCTTGATTACAGCCGTCCAATATAACATCATGAAGTCTTCAAAATTCTCTAAGGTTTTCAAGTTTATTCCAGCAGGAGATATTGAATTACCAATATAAGCATCCACCACCACCACCCTCTACTGCCAGTAGTGTCATTTTATATGATATAAATAGCTTTGGATTTCATATAGGGAACTGAATTTTAATCCTGTTTTGCTAGCTTTGTGACTTTGGATACTCAAGGATTGGGTTTCTTTTCTAAAATGATTGTATAAGGCTAAACCATGTCAAGTCTTTCTCATTAATTTTTTAAATGAACTTTATTGATACATGCAATGGAATTCATCAAGTTAAAATTAAAATATATGGTTTGATATGTTTTGACATTAGTTGTATAACCTTCACAATCAAAATATAGAGCATTTCCATCACCCCCACAATTTGCTTCATGTCCCTTTTCATTTCACCTTTTTACTTCCGGGAGCCTTTCTGCTTTTTGTCACTGTAGTTTTGCCTTTTTTAGAATTTCATATAAATGGAATTGTAAGGTATGAGGCTTTTGTGTCTGGCTTCTTTGACTTAACATATTCACTCACTTTTTTTCTTCTTGACGATTTTTTTCTTCATTGTGGTAAAATAGACACAGCATAAAATGTACCACTTAAGTGCTCAGCTCAGTGGCACTGAATACACTTACTGTTGTACGACAATAACTACTGTATTTCTAGAGCTTTGTCATCATCTCAGACAGAAACTTCATACCCATTAAAAATTAACTCTCCTTTCCACCTCCACCTCTTCACCCTTGGTAACCTCCATTGTATAATATAAGTAGATCATATAATATTCATCCTTTTGTATCTGGCTTATTTCATTTAGCATAATGCTCTCAAGGCTCATCCTTGTTGTAGCATTGCATTAATATCAGAATTTCTGGAGTTTTTACTGTGGCTGCATAATATTCCATTGTACATGTATATATTTTGTTTACCCACTCATCTGTTTATGGTCTTTTTGGTTGTTTCTACTTTTTGGTTGTCATGAATAATACTGCTGTGATCATTGATCATTAACATACAAATATCTGTTTGTGTCCCTGCTTTTAATTCTTTTGAGTATGTACCTAGAAGCAGAGTTGCTGCCTCAAATGGTAATTCCCTGTTTAACTTTTTTAGATTCAGCAGACTATTTTCCACAGCTGCTGCATCATTTCACATTCCCACCAGCAATGTACAAGGGCTCCAATTAATTTCTCTACATCCTCAACAGCTCCTGTTCTTTGCTTTGCTTTTTGTCTTTACTGTTTTTTATTTAAAGAAAAAATAGCCATCTTTGTGGTAGATGTTAAGTGATAATTCGTTATGATACATAGGAGTAAATTTAACTAGGAAGATGAAAGACTATGCACTGAAGACTGTGAATCATTGTTTATCCATTCATCTGTTGATGAAAGAAATTAAGGCATAAATAAACGGAAAGACCCCATGTTCATGTATTGGAAGATTCATATTATTAGGATGTCAGTGCTACCTAATATAGAGAAGGCAATGGCAACCCACTCCAGTACTCTTGT